ATTACATTTATATGAAATAAATTCATTTACATATATATATATATATATATATATATATATATATATATATATATATATATATATATATATATATATGGCCTGTAGATTGTGTTCAAGCATGAAAGACAGTTGGCAGTCGATGTTGACATCATTGTCCCCGCATATTTACACATTTATTCTTCCGGATATTATATATATATATATATATATATATATATATATATATATATATATATATATATATATATATATGTGTGGGGCATTGCAGATATAGCTAAAAACTGTTCAAATTACAATATGAAGAAAGACATAAAGAAAAACTTATCTTAGTAACAAGTAATTATTAAAAAAAAGTTAAATCTTACTTAGATAGAAAATTCCCGTGAGTGCCGCAATTGAATCGTAAAATATAAATTTTCAGACTAATATAATATAAATAATATTTACATTATAATAAGAAAATGACCTACAACATTTATTCATTTTGTTTATTAGACATTAAATTAAACGTGTAAACAGCGATAAATTTTTCTTGTGTCATATATATATATATATATATATATATATATATATATATATATGGGTATATATATATATATATATATATATATATATATATATATATATATATATATATACAGATAGATATATACATATATATATATGGTGCATATATATATATATATATATATATATATATATATATATATATATATGTATATATATGTATGTATGTATAGAAGCTTGAAAGGTATTTATACTGTAATTATTATACCAGTATTGTAATATTGGTTCTAGGATTCATTTAATTCATTAAAATCATTTTTAGTATTTATATTTCATTAATTTTTAATACATACATTATTATGATTTATTCTGTTTCATAAATAAAATAATAATAATAATAATAATAATAATAATAATAATAATAAAAAGTTTTGCAGATAAAAAGTCGAGTATGTTGATGGAGGCAAACAGCTGAATATTTGAGGATTGATCTGTTTATTATTGATATATTTTATTATCAATATATGCGATTTTACGCACGTTTTGTTTTTCATTACTAAATAACTATATCAATGAAGTGTGATGACTGTTCAAATGAGCTGACACCGGGTGTGTTTGCTTTTACTGAGAACGTACAGATATATATATATATATATATATATATATATATATATATATATATATATATATATATATATATTGTCATCCGCAGACAGATTGTTTCTGCTGTTTCACAACTCATCAGTGTGACTAGACATCCGATTGCTTCACCATATGTATGTATGTATGTATGTATGGATATACACGCATAAAATGTAATATATGAGACAGTGCTGGAAAATTCTCAGTCCAGTAAAAAATCTCTTCAAAATGGAAAATAATTTATTTTTGATTGTTTGTTTAAGCTTTGTCGAGAACTTTTTACACCTACATATATATATATATATATATATATATATATATATATATATATATATATATATATACCTGTATTCTTTTCTGTGCACATTTAATCTCTGTTCTTTCTCACCTTTTCTAACACCTTGATATGGTTCATGCATCATACTTTTTCATAATATTGATAAGATAACAAATGATTAAAATAAGTCTGAAAAATTTCCTGATTCAGTTATTAATATATATATATATATATATATATATATATATATATATATATATATATATATATATATATATATATGTATAGAGTGTGTTGAAAGAAAATGGCTATTTTTGTAGTGATTTTATAACATACTTATGTTATAATTTTTTCATAAAAATAATTATATATATATATATATATATATATATATATATATATATATATATATATATATATATATATGCATATGTATATACACACACACACATATTATACGTATTTTTTAAAAATATGATTCCATCGGTATATATATATATATATATATATATATATATATATATGTATATATATATATATATATATATTAAAACAAGAGCTGGTTTTTACGCCTATAAACAAATACCCATCTATATCTGTTTTAATACCGTAATAAGCAAGATGTCTCAAGTTTTATTTTATTTGGTGTTAACTGAAAGGATTGTCTTCAATCTATTCAAATATTTTTCGTTGATTAATTTTAGTCCTTGAATTTTAATCCAGATTAATTAATTGCAAGCACTCATGATGCTAATAAATTCATTTATTAACGATTGAAATATTTATGCATTATCAAAGAACGTTTGTGTTTAAATACTGATAGATTTTGGTGGCGGGGCGAATTAAACCCATATTACTTAAATCTAAGACCGCTCACAGAAAGTCACCTGTCGTCATATTCGGCTGGTGACTGTCGAATTAGACGAAGCAGCCGACAGCCCCCCCACCTCCGCTACTACCACCACCTCGTCTTTCTGTCTGAGCTGGTGTGATGATACAACCGTAAACAACAACAACAACAATAACAATACGAAGAGCAGCATGACCAGCCAGAAACACGCTGGTATGAACAGAAAACAAGAGTATTAGTGATCAGGGTGGTGAGGGATGTTGTTGTTGATGGTGATGATGATGATGGTGATAAAAAATAAATAAAATAAAAAAAAAATATGACGATATGATGTTAATTTGTGCTGAGTAGACTGACTCACCGTATGATACTTGTACGCATCATCAAGTGTTCCTTAAAATTGACCTGTGTGCTCGATTTTCCTGCCATTTTGCCGGTAACGTTCCCACTCAAAGCCGAAGACATCGCATTATAAAAGCAGCAACGTAAACGCAGCGTTGTTTTGTAGCCACCTCTCTCTCTCTTTGCACCGCCGTAGCACTGGCCATCTCACCCTCTCTTTTTCTCTCACTCTTTTTCTTTCTCTTACTTTCTCGATAACTCCTTCGCATACTTTCCTCTATACGATTCGCAATACTCTTCTCTCACCTCCCATTTGTCCCTTCTCTTCTATTATTCTTATCATCATCATCATCATTATTATTATTATTATTATTATTGCCGTTGTTTTTGTTGTTGTTGTTGATGGTGATGATGTGGTTGTTGCTCCTGTCGATATCCACTCTTTCTTTTTCAGGATGTGCGGGTGGTGTAACGGATAGCTGGTCTGGATGAGAAATCGGAAAGCGGAGTTCGAATTACACTTGGGTTCGTTTCATTCACTTATGCGCAAGGTATGGGCCCATCTCTTCTCCTCCAGCTACGGGCTAAAAAGTAAGAATTGTATCCGGAAAAATTATTGTTATTCTCAAAACAAATATGTTAACGCAATATTCACTCGCCCCCAAAAATTATTCCTACAATCCAAATTATGTTTTGGCTTTAAATAACTCACAAAGGATCGATAAAACGTAAAAAAAAAAAAAAAATCAATCACTCATTATCCTTAATATCCCCTTCCCGTTACGCCATGTTACTATTTCTCTCCAAAACCCAGCACACGCCACTCTTTTAATCTCACTCTCTTTATTTCTTTCCAACGTATACTTTCAGTCTATCTTTCTATCTCTAGTTTATTCAATATCTTTTTCTTTGCTTGCTTAATTCCCTTACTTCTTTTGTTTCTGGCTTAATATCCTTCTTTTTTTTTTTCTTTTTTTTTTTTTTTTTTGCTTCATTCCCTTCCTTCTATATTTCTTGCTAAACATCTTTCCTTCTTGCTTAATGACCTTTTTTTCTTTCTTGCTTAATTTCTTTCTTGCTTGCTTCCTTAATTTCTCTCATTTTTTTCTTTCTTGTTTAATTTACTTCTTTCTTTATTGCTTGCTTCCTTAATTTCTTTCATTTTTTTCTTTCTTGTTTAATTTGCTTCTTTCTTTATTGCTTGCTTCCTTAATTTCTTTCATTTTTTTCTTTCTTGTTTAATTTGCTTCTTTCTTTTTTGCTTGCTTCCTTAATTTCTTTCATTTTTTTCTTTCTTGTTTAATTTACTTCTTTCTTTATTGCTTGCTTCCTTAATTTCTTTCATTTTTTTCTTTCTTGTTTAATTTGCTTCTTTCTTTATTGCTTGCTTCCTTAATTCTTTTCTTTCTTTCTTGTTCAGTTTCTTTCATTCTTGCTTGCCTAATTTCTTTCTTTGTTCTTTCTTTCATACTTAATTTCATTCCTTCTTTCTTGCTTTCTTAATTTCCTTCCTTTTTTATTTCTTAGTTAATTCCCTTCTTGTTTAATTTCCTTCTTTCTGTCTTGCTTAATTTCCTTCTTGCTTCCTTAATTCCCATCGTTCTTGCTTGCTTGCTTTATTTTTTTAATTCTTTCTTTCTTTCTTAATTTATTCTTTCTTTATTGCTGCCTTAATTTCCTACGTTTTTCCTTTCTTGCTTAATTTTCTTCTTTTCTTGCTTACTTGCTTAATTTTCTTCTTTCTTTTTTGTTTTGTTAGTTCCCTTCCTTCTTACTTGCTTTCCTTCTTTCTTTCTTGCTTAATTTCCCTTTTTCTCTCTTTCTTGCTTAATTCCACTCCTTCTTTCTTTCTTGCTTAACTTTCTTCTTTCTTACTTGCTTCACTTCCTTCTTTATGTCTTGCTTAAATGCCTCCTTTCTTGCTTTCTTGATTAATTTCTTTCTTTCTTTCTTTCTTTCTTTCTTTCTTTAATTACTTTCCTACTCTTTCCTTGCTTAATTTCCTTCTTTCTTTGTGCTTAACTTTCTTCTTTCTTGCTTAATTGTTTAATTTTCTTTATTCTTTCTTGCTTGCTTAATTTATTCTTTCTTTATTGCTTCTTTAATTACCTCCCTTTTTTCTAGCTTGCTTAACTTTCTACTTTCTTGATTGCTTGCATAATTTTCTTCTTTCTTTCTTTCTTTCTTTCTTTCTTTCTTTCATGCTTGCTTGCTTAATTCCCTTCTTTCTTTCTTTTTTCTTTCTTTCTTTCTTTCTTTCTTTCTTTCTTAACTTCTTCATTCTTTCTTTCTTTTTTTCTCGCTTAATTTCCTTCTTTCTTTCTTGATTGCTTAATTCCCTTCCTTCTTTCTTTCTTGCTTAACTTTCTTTTTTCCTGCTTAATGTCCTTCTTTCTCTCTCACACTATCTCTTACTCGATAACTTTCAGTCCTTTTGATCGCCAGTGTCTCTCGTTCAACTTTTTTCTTTTCTTTTTTCGTTCTTATAAAGAAAAAAAAATAATGGAAAGAAAAGAAAATAATTAAGATAAATTATAAATACGTATATTTATTTTTCTTTCCTTTATTTCTTTTTCTTTCTTTCTCTTTTTCCCCAATAACCAGCTCACTTTCTTTCCACCTTTCTTTTGCTAATCATGACTCTCTCACTTTTCGTCATTTTCCTTTCCTTCTCTTACGATTTCCTTAGTTTTTGTTGTTGTCGTTTCTCGTATTATCCATTCTCTGCCTTTCTTTTAATTATTCCTACCTTAGTCCTCCATCTTGTTTTCCCCTTAAACACAGTACACAACTCTCTTTGACACGCACTCTTTTTATTTCCCTCTCATATTTGTTTCTTTCTTACTTTCTTTCTTCGGGCTACACTTACAATTTAGCATTTTTTTTTAATTTAATTCGCTTTTACGTTATTTCAAATATCTCGTTACTCCATGTTTAATACGATTTCTCCAGCAGACATCTACTTTCCTTTCTCTTTCTTTTTCTCTCTCCCACCCGAAATGTTTGTTTAATTTGTTCACACTTTATTTACTCTTTCTTTTCTTATCCATTTTATCTTGTTCATATTTAAAATTCCCTTAATACACAGTGTTAAATTATTATTTCACACCCAGGGCACATTAATCATATGGTTGTTTCTTTCTTTCTTTTTTATCACATTTTTTTTTTTAAATATCCCCATTTTCTTACTCGCCCCACATCCATTATCAATCAATCTTTTTAACTCATACTTTCTTTCTTTCTTTCTTTCTTTCTTTCTTTCTTTCTTTTTATTCCGTTCTTTGAAATCATTTACACGTCCAGTTACTTTTCCTTTCTTTCTTTCTTTCTTTCTTTTTATTCCGTTCTTTGAAATCATTTACACGTCCAGTTACTTTTCCTTTCTTTCTTTCTTTCTTTCTTTCTTTCTTTCTTTCTTTCTTTCTTTCTTTCTTTTTACATTTTTTATTCCATTTCTATTTCTTTATTTCTTTCCCCAAGAGGCATAAATTATCTTTGCGTCTAATCCAGTTATTTTTCTTTTTCTTTCTTTCTTTTCTTTTTTTTTTATTCCCTCTCTTTGAATTCATTTTCGTCCAGTTTCTTTCTTTCTTTCTTTCTTTTTCTTTCTTTCTTTCTTTCTTTTTTATTCCGTTCTTTGAAATCATTACTTTCTTTCCTCAAGAAACGTCCTCTCTCTCTCTCTTACTATATTCTTTTACGTTCGTTTTCTTTCTTTCTTTCTTTTCAGTTTTTGTTTGTCTTCTTTCTTCATTTGCCAACTTTCTTTGCTTTCTTTTTAGTTATCTTTTTTCGAATTATTTTTGATTTTATTTCTTTCCACACATTTTTTATATATATTGTGTGTGTGTGTGTGTGTGTGTGTGAGAGAGAAAGAACGTTGAGGGCATATAATTCAATCCATTTTGTTACTTTAAATGCCGATTTCAGATGATCCCTTTGAAACTGACAGTTTCAGTTTTCCTTTCTGTTTTTATTCCGATATTGAGCACTTTTCTTTGTAAGTTTTTAAAAATCATTTACACGTCCAGTATATCCGTCTGTCGATATTTATTTCAGGCTGTTCATATTTCTAAATACTTTTTTTTATTTATTGCCTCTATTGTTTACTATCTAATTTATTTCCTCTTTCACTCTTCTGTTTATTCGTCTCTCCCTCTCTCTTTCCTTTTCATTATCTTCCATGTTTCTTTCTTTTCTATTCTTTCCTTTTTCGATCTCTGTTTCCTATTTTTGTCTGCCTTTTTTGTTGTCTGCTTTTTTTTCTTTCTTTTTTTTTTTGTCTTTATTTTCATTCGTTCGATACTTTTGAGTTAATTTCTTTCTTCCGTCTTTCGAGATATTCTTCCCTTCATTCTGTTTCAAATATCGTCCTCCTCTTTCTTTTTTTCTTTCTTTCTTTTTTTTCTTTCTTTCTTTTACACTTTCTCTCACAGTGCTTATATTTCAAATATATTTTTTTCTATCTATCTATCTATCAGTGATTGTGCTTATGGATAAGATGGGAAGTAGAGGAAAATCCGAGCAATCTATCTATCTATTCAGGACATTGTTGCTTTTACCGTTTTCGTTTGTTTCTTTGTTAGTGTAAACGTTGTAGTTAAAGCGTCGGAGCATAGTCAGATATTTCGAATTCTGTCCAAAGAATCAAGTCGACATTTGTAATGTAGTCACTCAGAGAATAATTCTTATTTTAAAGGAAAACGGAGGTTTTCTTTCTTTTCTTTTCTTTTTCTTCTTTTTTTTTTCTTAAAATATATGATATCCACAGATAATTCGTTTTATCTACTATTTTATGTATTTTTTGGCTTTATTTAAAACTTTTCTCACACACGGTATTCAGACTATTTTTTTTTGATTTTCGCCCCCAAACCCAGTTTTCATTAATTCTTTCAAAGATTTTCCCATTTCTTCTTTAATTTCTGTTTTTATTCACCTTACTTTCTTCGGTTCATTCCGTTCGTTTTTCATTCCTACGCGCCATTTTCTGTTCTTTCGTGTTTTACATCTTTCTTTTTTTTTTCTATTTTTTCTTTTTTAACTCTTTCTTTCCTTCATTCTCATTTTCTTTCTTCTGTCTCTCTTTTCTTCTTGTTCTTACCTTTCGTTATTTTTTCTTTCTTTTTTTTTACTTAGTCATATACTTCCGTACACTCTTTCTTCTCGTTGACTGTTTTTCTGATTTTCTTTAATCATTATTGATTCCCATTTTAATTATATTCATCCCGTTGCTCGGATTTTCCTCTACTTGCCATCTTATCTATAAGCACAATCACTGAAACTTGAGCTCCTGCCCTGATGTGATGGTTAACAAGTTCGTTTCGCGAGCCAGTTCTCACGGTTAATGAATTCCACCTTCAAGGGGGGCAAACAACTATGGTCTTATTCCATTCTTTCTTAGCATACTTTTCATCTGATACATATATATATATATATATGTGTGTGTGTGTTCAACTATGTATGTATGTAGACAGAGAAAGAACGAAGTATGGAGCATCCAGTGAGGCTCAAACTCACTATTTAATGGTAATTTATATTAATTCGAAGTGCCCAACATTATTGATGGATGGGTCTCTTTAAATGGTCTTGAACGTCTGTTAAGACATCTTTCAGAAAGATGGAATCCTATATACGATCTATTGCTGAGGATGCTGGGACAAATGACTGTTCATCATGCTCCAGTAAGTATTGATTCCATTTGCTGGGACAAATGATCTGTTCATTTATGCTCCAGTAAATCTGCTTCCCTTGCTGCTGGGACAAATGATCTGTTCATTTACTGCTCCAGTAAGTATCTGACTTCCCATGCTGCTGGGACAAATGATCTGTTCATTATACTGCTCCTTATCTGACTTTTTTACAAATGATCTGTTCATTGTACTGCTACATAAATCACTGCTGGGACAAATGATCTGTTCACTTTCCAGTAATATCTGACTTCCCTGCTGCTGCTGGACAAATATCCGTTCATTGTCTACTTCCCTTGCTTTATCTTTCATTGTACTGCTCCAGTAAGCATCTGATTTTTCTGGGACAAATGATCTTGTTTTTTTTATTTATTGCCTGGGACAAATGATCTGTTTGTTTTTTATCTGACTTCCCTGTTTCTGGGACAAATTGTTCATTTCTGCTTTTAAGTATCTGACTTCCCTTTTTGCTGGGACAAAATGATCTGTTCATTGTACTATTCCAGTAAGTATTCCCTGCTTTGATCTGTTCATCAAATATTTCATGCTTTTCTGTTCATTGTACTGCTCCAGTAGTATCTTTCCCTTTTGTCTGTTCATTGCCTTTTGTTGTCTGTTCATTTTTTTTTTTTTCTTTTTTTGGGACAAATGATTGTTCATTACTGTCAGTAAGTATACTTTTTGCTGGGACAAATGATCTTTCATTTCTTCCGTGATTTGCTGGGAGATATTCTTTCATTCATTCTGTTCCAAATATCGAAAATGCTGCTGGGACAAATGATCTGTTCATTGTACTTGCTCAGTAAGTATCTTTTTTGGGACAAATGATTTCTTTCTTTTTGCTTTGGGACAAATGATCTGTTCATTTACTGCTCCAGTAAGTATCTTTCCCTCTCTGGGACAAATGATCTGTTCATTTCAAATATCTGACTTTTTTGGGACAAATGATCTGTTCATTGTATCTAGTAAGTATCACTTCCTTGCTGTGGGACAAATTCTGTTCATTGGATAAGATGTAAGTAGACTTCCCTTGCTGCTGGGACAAAATCCGTTCATTGTACTGCTCCAGTAATATCTGACTTATCTATTCTGGGACAAATGTTGTTCATTTTACTGCTTTAAGTTTGTTTCTTTGTTGGGACAAATGATCTGTTCATTGTAGTTTTGCTGCTGGGACAAATGATCTGTTCATTGTACTGCTCCATTTCTGAATTCCCTTGTTTTTTTTTTCAAGTATCTGATATTTGTGGGACAAAATCTGTATCTGACTTCCCTTTTTGCTGCTGGGACAAATGATCTGTTCATTTTAAAGTAAAAACGGAGTTCATTGTACTGCTCCAGTTATCTTTTGCTGCTGGGACAAATGATCTGTTTTTTTTTTCTTCTTTTTTTTTTTAAAAATATATTTTATCCACAGATAATTCTGTTTTATCTACTATTTTATGTATTTTTTTGTTCTTTTATTTAAACATCTTTTTCCCATGCTGCTGGGACAAATTTTTTTTTTTTGATTTTCATTGCAACTGCTCCTATCTGACTTCCTTTGCTGCTGGGACAAAATCCCAGTTTTCTTTATTAATTCTTTCCCATGCTGCTGGGACAATTTTTCCCATTTCTTCTTCCGTTTGTTTTTTCATCTGTTCATTTTATTTCCAAAGTTCTGATTCCTTGCTTGGGACAAATGATCTGTTCATTGTATTCCTATCTGACTTCCTTTTGCTGACAAATTCTTTTCATTGTTTTTTCTTTTTTTTTGGGACAAATTTTTTTCTTTTTTAACTCAGTTTCTTTCCTTCTGGGACAAATCATTTTCATTTCTTCTGTATCTCTTTTCTTCTTGTTCATTGTACTGCTCCTTTCGTTATTTTTCAAATTTTTTTTTACTGCTCAGTAAGTATATACTTCCTTGTGCTGGGACATCTGTTCATTGTACTTCTATCTCGTTGACTGTTTTTCTGATTTTCTTTATGCTGCTGGGACAATTGATTGTTCATTTTAATTATATTCATCCTGTTGCTGGGACAAATGATCTGTTTTTACCTCTAGTATTGACTTCCCCATCTTATCCATTAAGCATCAATCACTGGGAAACATTGTACTGCTCCTGCCCTGATGTGATGGTTCCACAAGTTCTGTTTCTGCTGAGCAAAGTTCTCACGGCTTAATGAATTCCACATTCAAGGGGGACAAATGATCTGTTCATTGTATGGTCTTATTCCATTCTTTGCTGGGCAAATGATCTGTTCATTTACTTTGATTCGATTTCTGGGACAAATATCTGTTCATTTTGCTCCGGATACTTTGTTGGTTTCAACGAACAGACTTCCCTTGCTGCTGGGACAAATGATCTGTTCATTGTACTGCTCCTGAACGTTCAAATGATCTGTTATGTACTGCTCCAGTAAGTATCTGACTTCCATGCTTGGGACAAATAGTCTGTTCATTGTACTGCTGTAAGTATCTGGTTGCTGCTGGGACAAATGATCTGTTCATTGTTTAGATGACTTCCCATGCTGTTGGGACAAATGATCTGTTCATTGTACTGGAAGTATCTACTTCCCTTGCTGGGGCAAATGATCTGTTCATTGTGAGGCTCAAAATCTGTTCACTATTTAATGGTAATTTATGGGACAAATATTGTTATTGTACTGCTCCAGTAAGTATCTGACTTCCCATGCTGCTGGGACAAATGATCTGTTCATTGTACTGCTCCAGTAAGTATCTGACTTCCCTTGCTGCTGGGACAAATGATCTGTTCATTGTACTGCTCCAGTAAGTATCTGACTTCCCTTGCTGCTGGGACAAATGATCTGTTCATTGTACTGCTCCAGTGGATCTGACTTCCCTTATGCTGGGACAAATGATCTGTTCATTGTACTGCTCCAGGATCTGACTTCCCATGGGACAAATGATCTGTTCATTGTACTGCTCCAGTAAGTATCTGACTTCCCTTGCTGCTGGGACAAATGATCTGTTCATTGTACTGCTCCAGTAAGTATCTGACTTCCCATGCTGCTGGGACAAATGATCTGTTCATTGTACTGCTCCAGTAAGTATCTGACTTCCCTTGCTGCTGGGACAAATGATCTGTTCATTGTACTGCTCCAGTAAGTATCTGACTTCCCTTGCTGCTGGGACAAATGATCTGTTCATTGTACTGCTCCAGTAAGTATCTGACTTCCCTTGCTGCTGGGACAAATGATCTGTTCATTGTATCTGACTTCCCCTGCTGGGACAAATGATCTGTTCATTGTACTGCTCCAGTAAGTATCTGACTTCCCTTGCTGCTGGGACAAATGATCTGTTCATTGTACTGCTCCAGTAAGTATCTGACTTCCCTTGCTGCTGGGACAAATGATCTGTTCATTGTACTGCTCCAGTAAGTATCTGACTTCCCTTGCTGCTGGGACAAATGATCTGTTCATTGTACTGCTCCAGTAAGTATCTGACTTCCCTTGCTGCTGGGACAAATGATCTGTTCATTGTACTGCTCCAGTAAGTATCTGACTTCCCTTGCTGCTGGGACAAATGATCTGTTCATTGTACTGCTCCAGTAAGTATCTGACTTCCTTGCTGCTGGGACAAATGATCTGTTCATTGTACTGCTCCAGTAAGTATCTGACTTCCCTTGCTGCTGGGACAAATGATCTGTTCATTGTACTGCTCCAGTAAGTATCTGACTTCCCTTGTTGCTGGGACAAATGATCTGTTCATTGTACTGCTCCAGTAAGTATCTGACTTCCCTTGCTGCTGGGACAAATGATCTGTTCATTGTACTGCTCCAGTAAGTATCTGACTTCCCTTGCTGCTGGGACAAATGATCTGTTCATTGTACTGCTCCAGTAAGTATCTGACTTCCCTTGCTGCTGGGACAAATGATCTGTTCATTGTACTGCTCCAGTAAGTATCTGACTTCCCTTGCTGCTGGGACAAATGATCTGTTCATTGTACTGCTCCAGTAAGTATCTGACTTCCCTTGCTGCTGGGACAAATGATCTGTTCATTGTACTGCTCCAGTAAGCTGGGACAAATATCTGACTTCCCTTGCTGCTGGGACAAATGATCTGTTCATTGTACTGCTCCAGTAAGTATCTGACTTCCCTTGCTGCTGGGACAAATGATCTGTTCATTGTACTGCTCCAGTAAGTATCTGACTTCCCTTGCTGCTGGGACAAATGATCTGTTCATTGTACTGCTCCAGTAAGTATCTGACTTCCCTTTGCTGCTGGGACAAATGATCTGTTCATTGTACTGCTCCAGTAAGTATCTGACTTCCCTTGCTGCTGGGACAAATGATCTGTTCATTGTACTGCTCCAGTAAGTATCTGACTTCCCTTGCTGCTGGGACAAATGATCTGTTCATTGTACTGCTCCAGTAAGTATCTGACTTCCCTTGCTGCTGGGACAAATGATCTGTTCATTGTACTGCTCCAGTAAGTATCTGACTTC